CTTCATATTACAGCTAGACAAAGTAATAGAATTATTTTAGCTAACATCCAACTGGGGGACAATTTTAAAATTAGATTTCTAGACTGCTAGAGACAATAAAAACCAGTTAGCACCCTAGTATTTTTAGACTATAGTCTGTGTTATTGGCCTCAATTCTATCTAGTTATATATCAAAGAGGGGTAGGAGGAGTGTTTCTCAGTGACTATTATCTAAAGAGTCACATGTTCCTTCCTGCTGTAGCTTTGATATAGGTGCACAATTAATATTTCCATCTTTGGTGTTTATGAAATTTTTTCTTGAAAAAGGCATTTTGTTTTACAACATAAAATTTAGTATAGCTGGTGTAATGGGTTGAATTGTGTCCCTTGCCCCCCGGCACACACATTTTCCCCAAATCCATGCGTTGAAGTTCTAAACTCAGCTGTAATTATGACTTTATTTGGAAATAGATTCCTTATAGAAATAATTAATTAGGTTGAAGTCATACTGGAGTAGGTTGGGTCCTTAATCCTTTATGACAGGTGTCCTTAAAAAATTTGAGGTGGGCACAGTGTCAAACGCTTATAATCCCAGTGGCTCAGAAGGCTGAGGCAGGAGGATCACAAGTTCAAAGACAGCCTCAGCAACTTATCTAGGCCCTAAGTAACTTAGCAAAGGCCTGTCTCAAAGTTTTAAAAATAAAATAAAAATGCCTAGAGATGTAGCACTGTGGCTAAGTGCCCCTAGGCTCAATCCCCGGTACCAAAGAGAGAGAGACAGAAATCTGAGAATGACATGTGAGAATAGATGGCTACCTCATAACCGAGGCAAAGACTTGGGTGGTGCATTTGTGAACAGAGGAACACCAAGGGATTGCTGTCTGCTACCAGAAGCTAGAAAGTGTTCAATGAAGTATCAGAGAGACAGTGGGCTTGTGACACCTTGGCTTTGGACTTTTAAACCAGAACTGAGAGAGAATGAATTACTATTGGATTAAGTCACCTAGACTCTTATGTCATTTTGTTACAGTAGTTCTGGGAAACTAAAACAGTCACTTAAACTGTTCCCGCGTTACCAAAATCTTCACTCATCTATTTGATAACCAGTATAACCATTCAGGTATAAAAGAACCACAGCACTGAGTGATAAAATATAAATTTGTCAGTCCACACAAAATATTTATTGAGCTCTTCTAATTTTTTCTGTGCTGAATACATGTTTTAAAATGGGAATTTTTCAATTTGTGAAGAAATTGTTAATTTTGGGAAAATATATATTTTTTTTACTTTTCAATCCCTGATTTTTATGTTCAGAAAACAATCCAACAAATATGTTCTGGTGGACTAAAATTGTTAATGAATTTAACATGTGAGAAAATCATTCTTTTAAGAAATTAGAAAACATTCTTTTAATGTAAAGTTAATAATTTTAAAGGTATTAATGCAATTAAATCATTGACAAAATTTTAATCCTTTGAATTAAAAAAAAATCTAATTTTTTTCTTCTCTGGAAGATGTTTCCAAATAAATGGCTGATTTCCTTTTCTTAATTATGATGAACATATGGGAAGGAGGGTCAACTTCACCAGGATCCTCATAAGAAAGTTATTAAAACAAGATTGGAAAGTTGAATTCTGCTTGAGATATTTAAGATTAGATAAAGAGACATAATACAGAATCTTTTTCTGTGAAAATATTTATATAATTTAACTCAATAGTACTAATTTAACAAATACTATATAGTGTGAAATGTGCTAGGGGCTATAGAAACCAACATATACATAACCCTCTGTTCAAGAACTTACATCTTAACAGGGTAGACAAGAATGAAAGCAAGAAATTAAAATGTAATATAATAGGTGTTTTGATGTAAGTTTGCATGAAGTGTTCTGAAAATGAAGATAAGTAATGGTTCTTAACTCGACATGTTTGGAGAAATCTTAATGGAAGAGGTCATTCAAGAGGGGGACCTTGAAAGATAATTGGAAATTCGCTGGTCAGACACCATGCAGAAGGACCGTGGTGACAGAAAAAGAAGTTGAAAAAGACTGAGAAATCAGAGAAGATGATGTTTCTCATTTGATACTGGCTGGGCAGTCATCTTAACAGGAAAAAAATAATTTATTTAGTATCTTCCATTTGCCAAACTTTATGCTATGAATAGATGTGATGAGATAGTGTAAGTGAAATCATCACCAAGTTTTTAAAATCTTTGATGCCTGAAATTTTTATGAAAAAATGGTGTGCTACTGCCAACTACTGTTTCTGTTTTTACATAAATGAGGATTTCAATTCACCTTTTAATGTAAATTGTTTATTTGTGTGGGAAATCAATACATTGGCTTTTCATTATGCAAACAAATTCAATGAGATAGAGATATCTGAGATTATGAGGGAAATAATATATTCTGTATAATATGAAGATTTCATTTTCAGTGAGTGTTGAAATCTACTGCTATAGATTCCTTCCACACCTGGGAAGTTGACCCTAGACTGGTGGAAGGAAATCTGGGTTTTTTTCTTCCTATGCCGGGAAGAATTGGAGGACTCTGGATGTAGAGTCCTGGAGGAAGATTCTGGAGGAAGATTCTGGAGGAAGATGATGAAGAGCACTCTTGGGTGAGGGATGGCCCTGGTGCCATGACAATGGCATGCTATGGATATCAAAAGACAGGGAACTTGGTACAAGAAGTGTCTACACCAGGAGAATAGTCATGGTGCATACCAAGCTTTATCACCACACTTCCAATAAACTGGTTAAACGCTGATGTTTTCTTACTTGTATTAGTTTGCTAATGAATTACCACAAATTGGCTGCTTATATGTTTTATCTCATAGGTATGGAGGCCTGAAGTCCAAAATCCAGGTCAGTAGTTTTGGTTTCTTTGGAAGGATGTGAGGGAATGTTTTATTTTCTGCCTCTCTTCCTGGCTTATAGATGGACATCAACTCCCTTTCTCTAAACATCAACTTTCTTCTATGTGGATCTGTGTTCAAATCCTATTTCCTTTAGTCAATTAAGTTTGGGGTTCTTGCATAATTAAAGAATTTGTTACTTAGAATCAAGAAATAGGGGATACCTTGGTTATAAGCATAATTATATACACTTTATATTGATAAAAACTGCAACTAAGAATAATCCAGTGACCCTCCTAAGACCACACTAGTACTACATAGTATAGAGAGTTTTAAAATTCAGTATTTTTTGACTCTAAGACAGTGATCTTTCCAATGCAGAGGGAAAAAAAGAAGAAGGGAAAAGAAAAAGTAACTTTGGAGTTAAACAATTTAATTTCAAAAATTATTATTTCAATTATTAGAAGGTAAACTATCTGTCATATAAGCCATTGTATCCCCAGTTTGGCATAAAGTAAACTAAATAGGAGATAAAATATAAATAATATATATTCTTTGAGCTAAAATATAAATAATACATATTATTTAAAAGATTGGATAACATTCAGGTAGAGATTACAGATGGTAGGAAATTGGAAGAGAGGTTGGAGTTCGTGATTCAGACTTCCAGAGACAAGAATTACAGGGGAAAATAATATTTCTCAGAGGAATAAGAAGAAGAAATTCTGAAGATAAGTCTCTGGTAAACATTTTTTATTTGAGAACAGTACAGGAAAAAAAATAAGGGAGCAGAAGAGAGAGAAAATGATTAGCGGTATAAGGAATAAAGGAAGAAAGATTTTTTTAAGGTGATTAATAAGGTTGTGGATGTAGCTCAGCAATAGAGGGCTTGCCTAGCATGAGTAAGGCAAGACCCTGATTTCAGTTCCCAGCACCACAACAAATAAAAATAAAAGGATCATTAATAAAAGGATGATCAAGAGCCCACAGGGAGAGTAAAGCATCAGATACTTCTTTCTCCAGAGTACCAAGGAAGGTAGGTAAAAAGAAGATTAATTCATATAAATTGTTCGGTGATAGGTTTTCTTTAACAAGTATGAGGTTGAGACATATGCTGAGAGTCAGGGAAACCGACCGAGAGTAGCAGATGAAGAGAGAATGTGCTGGTGTGGGGAAGGCATTAGTGAAGTCTCCAGAGATAAACAACAGGACATAGTTCCAGACTTTTTGACACTGGGAATGACTGACACAGATGCAGAAGCTATCTAAGAGTTGTGGAGTTTACAAGAGAAATTTAGAAATCAAAGAAGAGCATATAATCTGCTAAATATCTCTCCTCTTACAAGTTCAGATGGAGTGTGGATTGGGGTTATTTGGGCACAGCTTTCATGCTGTAGTCAGTTCTGTCCCTTAGAGGTATGATATCAATGTTTATAATCATTGCTTTCTAGGACCATCCTTTGCAATTTCCATGTTGTATTAACTATGCAAAATTGACTGTAAGATTCTATTTATTATTCAGTAACTATTGGAGCACTCTTTTGTCAAAGGTGATTTAGCACATTTTTAATGGTGAATACACTATCATAAATCACTATAGAATTTGTTTTCTCTGAACAAAAAGTATTTTAAATTCTAATGAAAAACATATTAGAGAAGGATAAATTTGTAAAATAAAAAGACGATAATTCTTTTAAATCACTGAATTCTAAATTTACAATGTAATTCTTCATCTTTTTTTGTGGGGTATGGGGGAATTGAACTCAAGAGCGCTTGACCACTAAATCATATCCCCAGCCCTAATTTCGTATTTTTATTTAGAGACAGAGTCTTTCTTAGTTTCTTAGCATCTTACTAAATTGCTGGGGCTGGCTTTGAACTCATGATCCTCCTGCCTCCACCTTCTGAGACGCTGGAATTACAGGTAATGCTTCATCTTTTCCAGAAAGAATTAAAACACTGAAAGTCAGTTCTCACATAGAAACTACATTGGCAGGGTAAAGACTGGCCTTTGTATCCATTCTGTGGAGTAACATTCTTAAATACGTTTTCCTTTTTATTTATGGCAATAGCCTTCTCAGGCATTTGCTATCTTTCAGCTGGCTCTTCAAATATCTCCATAAGCAGAAACATAGGAACTAGGATGATAAAAGGAAATGACCAACCTAGGGAGTCTTATTTCAACTTCTTCTTCCTGCATCTCAGAGAACCATTTCAGGATCTGTTGAGCAGTAATTAATTTTTCTACTTTTGCTATGTTCACCTCTTCTGCAGGAAGTATGATGATTAAACTAAAGTGGTCATCCTTATAAGGCAATTCCAAAACCTGGTATTTCATGGAGGATTCAGAAAAATAACCTGGAACCAAGGAAATAAATTATTAAATGTACTTGGCAATTACCAAAGCCATGCTTTAAGAAGTAGGGTTTCTCCTATTACCATATTTTGTTTTCAGAAGAGCCTTCATCATTGGAATTTTGACAGCTGAACCATCTTTCTTAGTAAAATTCATCAGCTGTGTGTCCTCTTTTCTAAATTGCTGCTTCCAATCCCCTTTGAAATAGATAGCATTCACCAAGACAAGCCGAGTCAGGGGTCCAAATTCTTCCCCTGAAAACATGTTTTTAATTTTTCCTATGAAGGAGTAGAGAAAGAAACAGGAAGAAATATTCAATAATGATTAAGTGGAACTGCTTTAAAGAGGATTAAAGCAAAAATGTCTCATGCAGAGATATGTTGGACACTTGTCTTACAATCTAACCTTAGTAATTTTGAGGATAAAGAGAGATGTTATCAATTATTTAATTAAGAAACAGATGCAAATGGATTCCACTAGGAAATAGGAACTATGTGCTGGTATTAGGCAAACTCAGACATAAATGGATTCTTTTCAGTGAGATTATTTTTGTCATTTGTCTTTCAGACAAAAAGAACAAAAACAAAATATTTCTCCCTTAATATTCATTGGTTATTATTCAGATTTTATTTTAAGGTTCTCCAGCAGGTTGATCAGATTTAATAGGTTAATGGTACACTCAAACTTGCCACACTTGTGTGTACCATTGGAACAGAACAAGAGTGGATAATGCTAACGTAATTTTTCTAAACAACCAGTCTTTCATTTCTATATATAGTAAGTATTTCTAAGTTATAATAAATAACCACTGTTGGGTGTCATGAAGCCATCTAGGGACTTCCTGATCTGTATCCCTGTGGGACACTGTTCACCACACGAAACTCAGATTTTTAAACTATGATTCCCCCCATGAGGCTACCTATAAAGATTACAGAGCATCTAATACTATCACAAGTTTTGTAGTTTAATGAATAATTAAAGAAAAAAACTACTGTTAATTAAGGGCCTGGTATGTTCTTGTTACTTCACAAACATTATTATCAAAACTTCCAATAATCCTAAAATGTTTTATAGTATCTTCATTTTAAAGTGGGCATAGCTTATAACTTCCTAAAATATTCCTGTGTTCCTTTGAACACATATCTATCTGACTTTAAGCTTACTACATCCTATTTAGGCTTTGCTAGTCATGGACATGGTAGTCTAATCTTTAATTTAAATACATGTTTTTAGTAGAACTATTAACATTTATTATTAAACATTAACATGGTCAACTAAACTGTGTTAATTATTTACAGCACATGTGGGAAAAAATCCATTTGGGATTGACAGCTTTAACTTCTATCTGGCCAAAGATCTTCCTGCTTCAATACTTGAAAAATCAATGCTTAGACATTATTTTTAAATTAATTATTTTTAAAATTCTTCAATTAAGAATTGTGTAAATAGATATCTTTCAAAAAAATAATAAAACAATTAGCATCTTTTTTCAAATCAGCTTATAATTTCTCTTGGCTTTAAAATTTAATATTAATTTAAATAATAGTGAAATAGGAGATTTGATCCTTCTGATCCAAAAAAGTGGAAGAGTTAATATACATTCATTATCTTTTACTCTAAGATATTAAAAACTATGATTACAATGGCAAATAATGGCTTTATGAAAAATAGAAAACTTTACCATCTGTTTTGCTTTCTACCCAGGTACTTATTGTCTCTGCACAAGCCTTTGCATTCTGAAAATCCACCAGTTTTATAGCACTCTGAAAAAACTCCTTGTTGCCATGGAGATACTGTTCCTTCACAGTGAATCCTTCTTGAAGGTAGAGGGCATTGGCAAGATTAAATGTAAATTCTTGTTTTTTCTCTGAGATGGCAGAGAAAAATGACTTCAACACAGAAAATTCTTCTCCTAAAAAATAATTATAACGTATACTGACATATTGAGCAACATAAAACAACGGCATTCCAGTTTTGTTATCTAAGCGTTTTGATTCATATCACCATTTTTTGCACCCTTAGGTATAACTAACGATCTGAAGTTAGTATAAATATTTCAAGCATTTATCTCAAGCATTATTTTTTAGTGAAATCAACTTTTATATAGGAAAAAGAATACCCATGTCGATTCAAAATCTGACAAACATGCAACTATGCATTTGTACAGGCTGAAGGAAAATCCCTCTTTATAGAGACATTTAGCTCATTTTTAGTTGTTGGAAATTCATATGTAGAATCTTGATCATTCCTTAAGATGAATACCCAATACTTATGGAAGGGGAATGCTAATGGATGTTGATGGGGTATGGCAGCTATGAGCAATCCTTTTCAATATTACTTTCATTTCAGCGAGAAAGAATCATTCTCTTTTGAGTAACTGTGCCTGTCCAGGTTTTGAAATGTGCAAGGTAAACACTATGATCATCTCTAGAGATGGGTGAGAATCAGAATTGCCTGTTTCTTCAGGTTCATGAATCTATATATTTTGTCTGTCTACATGAACAATAAACATCTTTAACTATTCTAACAATGGCCACTAGATAAATGAGTCAATTAAAGGAATCTTCATGGATCTACTATTTATTGATGCATTCTCTGACCACAGTAATGTCAAAATTTTGATTAACACAATATATACAGTAAGCTGTAGATTTCTATGAAAAGCATCTCTTCTGATACTTTCTTCAATAGCTGTTTTTTCATTACCAAATGGTACAAATAAGTTTTATTTCCTTCTGTCTTAATCCTAGAGCTCAATCATAATTCATGAACTCTTTCAAACAATAGGTTCTTTGAGGGTCTTCATTTGATTTCCAATTAAATATTGAAAATAGTACTTGTATAACTTAAAGTTGATTGTATTAAATTCATTTCTATTGGAGAAAATAAGTATTCATCATTAAAAGATGCCAAATAAATAGTTTAAAAAGTTTTACTGCAAGAAACATGCTAATAAGTATATAATGAAAACAAGGGATGTGTATATGTGTGTGTTTGTGTAAACACACACTTTATCAGAAGGCTAGCAGCTCACAACGTGTCTTTGTACAAATAACAATATCCCTGTCACTGGGAGCTGCAGCTCTGTGGCCTTACACCTGGACCAGTTGTGTTGGTTACATTTCAGTTCCTATTTGCCTCCTTAGCTTGGTGTTCTGACATAAGTACAACATCCTTACCAGAGCCTCGGCCAGGTATTTTGCATTATATTTCAAACTAGAATCCCCCACTTACTAGGACATAAAGACATAAAAGATTCTAAATAAAAGAATTAGCTTCTGTATAACTAGATCTGAGTTTCAGTAACTCTTTACAACACTGGAATTCTTTACATAAGGAAAGGAAGACAGTTAATCTATTTCACTTGTGTATACAATGATTCCAGATGCAATCATTCATTGCTCTTTGAAGCTTGAAAAAATATCTCAACAGCTGGGAAGCTTCAGAGATTTCTTAAGATACCAGAGCTTCTCCAAAATAATTAATTAAGGTCAGTAGAGAAGCAACAGAATTTGAAACCAATTTTCAGGTCAGAAATGAAGTGACAGAATTTGAAACTAATTTTCAGGAATTTGGAATTTATGAGCATCTTTAAGGAATGGCAAAAAAAAAAAAGGAAAGAGAAGAAAAAATAGTTCTAACTCATTTGTCAGAGCAAACAGATTTATGTCATGTACTTAAGGTTTAAGACTATGTGACAAACAGCTGCCCTTTGATAAATCACTGGACTCAGAAATCAATGAAAAAATGTCACCAAGTAGCACAAATTTGGAAGAGAATATAAAGTTATCTGCTTTACAAGTTTGATTTAATTTATAGATTAATGGTCTCATTTAGCACAGATCGAAAAGAATGCCTATACATGACTCCTAATAAGCAATGAGAATAAGTTGATTTCATTTCCTAAAATAGAGCAATAGAGAATCCACAGACCATGGGGTGAATGTGACTCTGGGGGTGATTGCACCAAACCTCCAGATAATGTTCTAAAATTTTAGTACCTGTTCTCTTCTGCTAGTAAGAGTTCAATAACCAATTCTCCAAAATATGAAAATACAGTAGTCATAGAAGTATAGATTATCTCAGCAGAAAGGTCCAAATAAATCACTTAATCTGACCCTCCTTTCTATAGTGAGAAACCAGCTCCAGAAAGAGGAAGAAACTTGAGAGGTGACATGACTTATGCCAAATCACAAGGTCACTTAATTGCAGAACTAGGATTGGAATTCATGTTTAGTCAGTCTCTCTCTCTCTCTCTCTCTCTCTCTCTCTCTCTCTCTCTTTCTCCCTTAGTGCTGGGGACTGAACCCAGGGCCTCACCATCTACCATTGAGCTATATACCCAGCCTAAGCTTTCTTTTCATAACCCTCTTAGAATAAAGAACCACTTTCAATTCAGCAGAAACGAAACAAAATGGAGCATTATCAAATGTTCAGCAAAATGGACAAAGTAAATCTAACCAGGTGTTTTGACAGGGAGAGAAAGGAGAACTGAGCACATAAAGAGCCCCAGTAGACCCCTCAGTTGTATGCCCTGTAGAACAAGCAAGTGTCAACATGGAAGGGTAGGGCAGGCCCCACAGATTGTCAGGAAAAGCAAGATCAAGACTGATTCAAGGGAGAGTATCTTTTTAAACAAGAGGAGGACTAAAGTAAGGCCAGGACTAACGTGAGTCAAGGAGATGCTTATCTCAGGCATAAAATTTAAAGAGATGCCAAAAAACTCAATAATCAAGATGTATGCCTCAATGCAAAATTAATGCCAAAATTAAAATTACTGCAAAAATTTTGATGAACAAAATATAAAATCTGTCAATAAAAAAAAAGGATTGGTATTTCTGATTTTTATTTTCACCCTTGGTTTCAGTACATCTGTGTCAGGCACTGTCTTTGGATCTGTTTGCCTTTTGTTCCACACTAAAGCCTTTCTGCTCATTTTTTGGATTGCTTGGGCCTTTTCTCTAACTCCGTGTCAGTCCCTCACTCTATTCCACTTCCTGTCCCTCTTTCTCTTATTTCTTCATTTTCCTCTTTTTTTTATTTTCTGAATTTTATTTCTCACATTTTCTCCACTTTTGACTGGGTTTCTTTACCTCTGGTGCTTTTCCCTTGCTCTGCGTCACTGCCCATCACTTAACAAGGCACAATGAACCGTTCTGGTAGATGTTGTCAAATGTATTAAAGTGTTAGTGTTTAATTGTCCATATGTATTCTTGTACAGAAAATATTTAAAATGTCATAATTATACTTACTATCTCTAAGCCTCACTGAATCATTTTTGGAATTAGTCCTGGCCAAATTAGTTAACTTTTTTTTTTTTTGGCCTCAGTTTTGTCATCTGTATGGCAAAGTTGCATTTACCATATAGAATAATTATAAATATCAAATGAGATAATATATACCAAGCACACAAAACAGTGGCTGATACACTATATGTGTGTTTGATGGTGCCTGATTATTATGATGATTATTACGTTCGGAGCCATAGCTCTTAAGACTTCTGTTACTAAGATGCCTGCAATTCAATGAATTTAGATTTCGGAGGCTCTAATCTTACTACCTTATCATGGAACCAACTTTACATATCTTCATAAACATTCTATTACTTTTCAAAGCAGTATCATGTGATTTAAGTGTTTCTGGGAATGGTATAATGGGATTTGCTGAAATTAATCAAGAATAAGTCTGGAATACAGTGGCTTCATTACACATTATTCACAAAGGAAAACTCTTGCAATTAGCTTATCACCAACTTCTTTTCTGTATAAAATTGGCTTTATTTGAAATGAAGCAATTAAAACCTTGTAAATAGTATTTTCAGAAAAAAATAAATTCCTAAATATAGCTACTCTGTGATAAGGCTGAAATTAGTCATAATGACTAAATTTACAAATTAAAAATCCAGATGTCTCCTCTAGTGTTGGGGCCACATTATCTAATAGTGATGTCAATGTTTAAAATGCAAACCACTATGGAAATTGTGAGCATGGCCAGGGAGATGTTTCAAACAGGATGTCAAAAGAAAATAGTCTCCGGCATAAGCCTTGTGGGACTCCAAGCAATCAACACTTGAAGTGAAAAAAAAACCCTCTGATTGATTATTTAAATGCTTTTTTCAAATTTTCTTCTAAAATTATTGAATAAGCTCTTAAATACATAAATTAATGATTTTCTTGGTTTCCCCATGGGTGAAAGTACATTTTTTAGAAGAAAGTATGGGAAACAACCTACTGAAGAAGGCTTGAGTAAATGGAATGTCCATAAGAGGAAATAAAGTGCAACACTTTAAAATTGTATTTTGATTCAGTAGCATGATATGGAAAAATGATTTCAGCATTTTTGAAGGAAAAAAGGGTTAGGGATATAGCTCATTAGTAGAACACTGGCTTAAAATGTGTAAGGTCCTGGGTTCAATCCCCAGGACAGCAACAACAACAAAAAGAGACAAAGTAATACGATTATTATGTCTATTATTACACGTGCATATACACACACAGCATAAGCTCAACTTAAATTGACCAAAACAAACACATCAGAAGAAAATACAAACACGTACAAAAATTGATGTCTCTATAAATGTTAATTTCTTAGTAAATTATTTTAAGCATTTTCATTGGAAAACAGTTATAGGTGAATGAAAATTACATTTACAATTCTCTATTTTATTAAAGTTTTGTATTTTCTGATATTTTTTCACTTGTTCAAGTTCTATGACCTGACCTTCTAATACTTAAAAAATAAACTTGACCATATCTTGTCAACTATAAATAATCTAGTGTATGATTCTCACCAGTTGGGGTTTCCTGCAGCTTTAAAGTTCGTTTTATTTGCTGAAGTGCTTTGCCTTTTGCTCCCAGTTGTACCATTCCAAGAGCCAAAGTTGTTCCAAGCGGGGAAAATACAATGTTGTTCTTGTGAGATAAGCAAATAGCTTGATAAAGATCCACTGCAAATTCAGTATTTTTTTGAGCCAAGGTTCTTGAGGCTTGACTTCCAAAAAAAATCAACAGGAGACTCCACAACAAGATTTTATCCATTTTGACTTCTGTTTATTGTAATTTAAAATATTATTGGCTTTTAAAATAAGATTTTACCATAGTATTCTACACCCAGCAAAAGACTTTCTACCCACTACTAGAACTTTCTATCTCATTACAACATACTACTGCCAGAAGACTCTGCAATGACAGTTTTCTGACCAAACATCATCAAATAGGAGAAACAATTTATATGGTACTGGTATTTTTTATGTTCCTTCAAGACGAGTACAAAATATATTTGCAGTTTCTTAAAATCAAAAGAGAAATGATAATTATGGAGCATTATCAATGGCAATATTATCTTTAAATAACCATATGGTGTATCTTTCTTGTCTTTTCTCGTGGTTTTATGTCGCAACTGTAACTCTGATATGAAGAGAAACTTCTTACAGGCTACTCTAAAGTTGTGATAGATCAAGCATGAAAATGAAATAAAAACAAGCACACTCCAGTCTGTTTTTCACCTACAATATTAGGAAGTTAATGTATTCTAAATCACTTGAGTAATCTGGATAATTTCCCAATAGCTTTTTCACAGTCTATAGAATCTCACTTTAGAGAGTAAAATAGTCTAAGACCTACCAAAACCACCTTATACTCTTATACTTTTGAAAAGGAGAGAAAAAGAAATTAAAAAAAAAAACTGTAAAGAGACAAAATGGTAATTTCTGGTCACAGTGGTACATACCTGTAATCCCAGAAATTCAGAAGCTGGATGCACAAGGATCACAAGTTCAAGGGCAGCCTGGGCAACTTGGTGAGACACTGCCTCAAAATTAAAATAAGGAAGACTGGGGTGTAGCTCAGGAACAGAGTACCCTTGGTTCAGTCCTCAGTATTGAGAGATTAAAAGAAATGAAATAATGAAGGAAGTAGTGATTTTAAAATATGGAGGAATCATTTTATTAGAATTATTAACATCTGTTAACTGCACCGAATAATGGGCTTCAATTTTAGCATTTTCATACCTGCATACAATATGCTTTGATCCCCTTGCCTCTACCTCAGTCCCTTTCTACTTCCCCAATAGTCCCCCCTTCTACTTCCATGTCATCTTTTTCCCTGTAGAGTTAACATATAAGAGAATATATGTGATACTTGTCTTTTGAAAAAATGTTTACCAGAAAAGAGAGTAGCAACAAATGAAAATCATAACCAAGTCACAAGACAAACACCATATTAATGAGCCCTCTAGTCAAATTATAGGAAATTCAACTATCTGATCATACCTTGAACAGAATTACTTTTGCAATATTGCTATATGGTTGGTAGAACACTGACTCTGAGGCCTCATAAATTTTAGTAACTCTTAACTTTATAAATAATACATGCTAGTAACACTTAGTAGGTCACCAGGAAGTAATCCTTCACTGGATTACTTCAGAACAGTGTGAGGTACAGGTAAAGAAGTGCAGAAATGCATTTCAGGAGTGTTTTGCAGATCATTAGGTGGGTCATTATGACCCATAAGTAGGTTAAAAATTATTAATAATTGAATATTCCTCAAGACTAAACTATGAACTCATTATTTAGATATTTCAAGCTTTTTAAAAATATATTTAGTTAAACTTTGTTTTTAAACATACATTTTACAAAGGGAAAAGAAAAGCTCAAAATGTAATCCAAAATGATTTTTAGACAATATGTGTTGGTAAATTATAAATATAGAAATTTTAATGTAGATAATATATAATAAAATATTGATAATATATATTAACAAGCAAATATTAAGGATTGAATAGATCAGCGCATTAGTATGTGAGAATATAATAATAGAAAACTGTACTTTTATGAGAAAAATAAATGTATATATATCATTTTGTTCTGAGATATTCAATTGTTCAGAATTGTTTAAAATTTTTTTAGTTGTAGATGGACACAATACCTTTATTTTATTTATTTATTTTTATGTGGTGCTGAGGATCAAAACCAGCGCCTCACACATGCTAGGCAAGTGCTCTACCACTTAGCCACAACTCCAGACCCTGTTCAGAATATTTCTGATAAAAATATTTTTGTAGTTTCATAAATAGTCAAAATATTATTAGTACTTTTAAGTTATTAAATGGAAATTCATTACTAGGTTAATGCTAAATAATAAAAAATATTTTGAAGAATGTAATTTTCCCCTTGTAGTAGAATCTTGCCTTTAGAGTTATCCTCTTATTAACAATTTTCATAATTAAAATTTATATTTTTTACGTCCATTTATCCTAGAAATTTTCTAGGCACTTAATTAAAGTCTGACAAATAATTGGTTTGAAAATTTCACTTATCTCATTGGCTTTTGGCTAAAATTTCATCAAAAGCACAACATACTGAAAACTAAATACCCTGTTGAATTCTGCCATAAGAGTTTGATCTTCCAATTTATAGTAAAATCTTTTAAGTAGAATAAAAGCAATACATTAATTTAATAAATTCAAATGATTTCTGCACCAAAGCAAATTGAAATGCCATTCTTCTACTTTACTAAACACTCAGAATCAAATCCATTCCATGTAATATATACATACTTTGTTCAAAAGCTATTTAATTTTAAAGTACTTACCCCAAATTGGCTTCTGGTTACTTACTGGAATGTTAAAGCTGAATGTGCTTACTGGGAAACACTTGTTCATGGAACACCTGATCAGTCAAGGCCAAATCTATTTGTCTTGAATATTGCTTTATTAATTCCTCTGGAACCACAGCAGGTGCTCACTACATTTGTATGAAAGAACTAACATGCCAAAGTAATGACCAGTAATAAACTTTGCAAGAATTGACAAAGAAAACAATTTTTTAAAAATATTAAATTTATATTATTATTGTACCCATTATTTGCTTGTTTTAAAAGTAAAAACAGAATTATGAAGTATGTGCCAGTGGTTGTGAATTTGCTGGTAATTAGTTCTTTTTGTTTCTCACAGGGCTCCCACATCAGATTACCAATGTGCCCCATCATAAATATTTCAGAATGCCTGTGAGAAACAGAATAAAGCTAAACCAAGTCCACAATGCAGAGATAAATTACTGCTGCATTTATAGAGTTCTCAACAATTCATCAAATTATAAAATAGTCATAGGAGACTCCTGTGGATATGAGACCCATTTAAATTTTTAGGAAAAGCAATGGATGTTGAAAAAGTGTATTCTTTATAAATAGCAAAAAAAAAAACCAATTAGGATTACTGATTTACCAAGTTATCCTTATTTACCTGTGGTTAGTAGATAATAGTCTATTAACCATAGGTAACTTGATAATGAACACTGATATTACTTTTGTATGCTTCTAAAATTCTACATGATTTTCTCTACAAACAGGCCATTAATTTTAAAAGTACACATAATTGAATGGGTTTTTAATCTCATTTTTGTGGTTCAAATCAATCACCTCACTAGCAATTAGATATTGAACACATTACATTATTCATCAGTGGCCTCTGAGAAAAGAAATGAAAAATCTGGTCCACTGTCAATTCAACAAATATGTCAATACTGATGACCAAGCAATATTATTTTGGAAAAAAATGTATAAGAAATAAAATGAGTATATATAGACATATGTGTAGTATATGTATTCAATTTTATAAGGACTTCATCTTTAAATTTCTTCTTCAAGGACCTTGTTGATACTTTTCAGTTTCTAATAGAGCTATGACTTAATTCTAGACTGAGAAGCCTGTTATAAACCATAATTTCCTAATTAATATTCTTAATAACTATATAAGCATATCCAAATGTTGTCTAAATCTTGTGTTTTATTCTGATATGACTTTCACTAAACTACACATATTTTTTTTTCTAGCTTCAACTTAACATCATTAGAGATAATTGTCCAAAAACAGGGAGGTGCAACACAAGAACACAATCCTTATTTATTCCACACTGTGATACATAAATAATATGTCTGAATGTCCAAGACTATCATTCAATCAATGCTTTTCTACCCATGTAGTGACATCAGAAAACATTCATCACCAGCACCCTTGGCTACCAAATTATGATGTCTGTACATTACTCATATCATAATGTGATTTATTCAGGAACAGGCCATTACTTTGCCTTCCAATGGCATAGACAGCCACTCTGTCTTATTAAGATCATTTAATGAAGCTGTTCTGTGAGGAGCCATATTAGTGCAGTTCAAGCAAAATGTGCATTTTCCTGGCTTTTGGGGAGCAAAAAGCAATAACCATTAATTTCTCCTCCCTGTCTTAAGCTCTTTTAATAGACAATAAAGATACCAAAATTGTCCATAAAATATTACTGCAAAGCTTTTAAATGTTTTCACAAATCTGTTCCTTGCACCACTCTTGCTACTAAAAAAATCAGAAAAAATTTATTCATAATGAGGGCCAAAGTGTCTTGGTATAAATTTTAACACCATTGCCTCTACCACTGAAAAGAAATGAACTTAGGAACATACATAAAATCATTATCAAGGGATCATGGTTACAATCCCATAGCCTTTCTTAGAATTTGATAGTATTTTTTTAGTAAAAATGTCCTTAATTCCAAACTTTAAAAACCTAAAAGCAGGTGTTGTCATCAATAAAAAAGCTTCAAAAAGCTTTTTTTTCCCAACTAAGCATGGATTAATCTCAATTTTTCTCTGTCATTTTGCTACATATATTTTGATAAGAGGAAAATGTTCTAAAAAGAGAAAAGGTTAAATTATATTTAGTGTAAATCTGCATGCTACAAACAAGAATTGAAGATTATGACACATCCTGTTTTAGTGTGACAAGTTCCTTTCACTGTAGAAAAATGGATCTCAAATAATTGAATCTAAATGTTAATTTCAGAAGCAGTTTATAATGTCTCCAGTTCTATCCGAAGTTGACAAGCAAGACCCGGATAGTTGCCTAGCACAATTAGATGCTATTAAGTATGAAAGAAGAGCAAGACAATAACTAAATGTCTGTCTCCTTTTTGTGGATGCTTTTGTTCCAAATTATTTGAAATATTAAGATTAAAAAAACTTTCATAACGTTAAAGGCTCTATTCTCATTAAAGGTAATTGTGAGACAGCTCCTTTTAATTCATTTCACAGAAGAGGTCCTGAAGTTAATTAAGGATGGAATTAAAGTTACATACAGGATAGAGATTTGCACACATGGTAGGCTATAGAGAGAAGTTCTGTCTACAGAACCAGACTAATTCAGACTAATCACTTCAAACAAAGTCATCATGAGGGACAAAAAGTAAAGCATGCCTAGCAAAAGACTTTCCAAATTATGCCAGAAACACTAGTGGTATCTTTCAATTTTTACTTAATAAACCAACACATTTAATGTGACTCCACTCTAGAAAGCTGAAGACAGAGTAAGTGTATCTTATTTAAATATGATTACCCAATGTCTAAAACAATTCCCTGAATGTGCTTTCCATAACTGAATGATTGGATGGATGGATGGATGGATGGATGGATGGATGGATGGATGGATGGAAAAAAATCCTTCACAAAACAATGGATACTCTTGTTACATCTCTTTAACATCTTAATATTCCTTTAAATTTCTACAAATGTGACTCATATTTCACTTCACTGCACTATCACCAACCTATGATTCATAAATCATATGCTCTGAGTTTGAAATGATAGATTATACAATCAAACTTCCCATTCAGTGTAAGAATTCTCTGAAATAGCCCTGTGAGAGAGTTATTTTTGCTCAAACATCACAAGGAATCCTTTGTCCC